AAAAAAAAAACAAAAGAAAGTGAGTTTTATCGAAGCAAAAAACAAGGCCAAAAAGGACACTTCCTTTTCAAAAAGAAAGTTAAAGTTAATTGGTCCCTCTATATATAATTTCAGAATGCGCTGAGCCTAAGTGGAAAATTTTCATGCTTCGAAATCTTATTTGGCAAAAAACATGCTTTGGAGTTAGGCTTGTATATAAATTAATATTTCGTATTAATTGTATTTTAATATCATTTCCTATTATAACCATTGAATTGCAAATATATTTTAAAAGTTGATAACTTTTGTATTTCTTATCCTTTTACATATATAATATATCAAATTAATCATTTTTTGATGAGCTTCGATTTGACATCCTTATTGTATATATAAAATAAATAAATTATATTTATCTTCATAACAATAATAAAATTATTTATTAAAATTAGTTAGAAAATAAAATTATTTATCAATTAATATATTCATATTTAATGTAGTTATAGGTTTTAAGGTAGAAAATTTATTATAATATAACACATATAAGTCGCACAAGTAACATGTGTCATACTAAAATATATAATGATATATACTTCCTCCTATTTTAATTATTTGTCGCTTTGGTTTAATTGATCATTGATAAAATAAATGTCGTTTTAGATATTTTGTTCATATTTTTCTATTTTAACCCTCCATCTAATATGTCCCTTCATATCTCATATCCATCGTTTCTCATAACATCCATTAAACAGGGTTAATATTGTCAAGAAAAAAAAATCTTAATTAGTGTGTTGCATTTTAATTGATATTATGATTATGAAGTCCGTTTGTATTTTAGTATTTATTTATATATATATATATATATATATATATATATATATATATATATATATATATATATATATATATATATATATATATATATATATATATATATATATATATATATATATATATATATATATATATATATATATATATATATATATATATATATATATATATATATATATATATATATATATATATATATATATATATATATATATATATATATATATATATATATATATATATATATATATATATATATATATATATATATATATATATATATATATATATATATATATATATATATATATATATATATATATATATATATATATATATATATATATATATATATATATATATATATATATATATATATATATGAAATACTTTTATCTATAAATTAGGCCTATTAGTAATATATTAATAATAAGGATATAAAATACTTTTATCTATGAATAGATACAAAACAGTAATATATATCCTTATAGATAAAATTTAAATTTATTTATCAAACTAATAAATTATATCAAATAAAACTATAAATTATATTATAAAGTAATAGAAATTAATATGTATTCGTTTAAAAATGATATTTATTTCAAATCTAATTGATATGTTGTCAATGTAATAAAAATAAATAATTATTATATAAATTCTAAAATTACATATAAAGTTAAAAAACTGTGAAGCACGACTGATACGACACTTGATGTATTAGGCATCTAATTAAGTAAAAAAAATTAATCTATTTTGCTTAATATTAAATAAACATATTCTACACTTATGCCTATACATATCACCATAATATTTCTATTTGCTTAAGATATATATTTTTGTACTTATATAATAGTGAATAATATTGATATTTTTATATGATATAAGTAAAAAAATTCAACACGAGTTGACATTTTCATTTAATGTACGTGTGTTTAATTATTATGATTAAAAGAATATAATTTGACAATTTAATTAAAATCCAAAATAATGTTTTATATAAAATTAAATTATTTTAGTTTTTAAAAAAATAAAAAATTTAATATTTTTTATAAAAGCTTTCTAATTTAACACCCGTGTAATATACGAGTATTGTACTAGTAATTTTTATAAGAAAAGAAAAATCCTATAATGGTGTGTTCTTACTTCTTTTTCCCTTTGTGTTTTTACTACAACATAAACTCACTTTCGGTTCAATTTGTATGTGTTAGGTAACCTGCACTTTTGGGCTATAATGTGAACATCAAGGAATAACATTTTGGATACAAAATTTGAAGGGGAGATATAATATATGATGTGCACAGGATATTCTCATACCAAAATTTTCAATCATATCGTCTTGACTTGATCATCTCGAACCATAAATTGGATCGACATTTGAAACAACAAAAGTTGTTAGGTCAACCTTCAAAACAGTAGAGACAACGTCTCAATTAACGGATTGGATTAACCTTCAAAACAATAGACTTATCAGATTAACCTTAAAAAGAGTGAAAATACTTCGTATTACAATATCACTTGTGAGTTGTCTCACATCGTTTATACATGGAAAATAAGCCTAACTTATAAGTCTAGTGGGCTACTCCTCCTACCACTAATTGGTTTTTGGGTAGAACCTCACTAAGGTGCATTTAGGCTCACCCTCTTATGCTGCCTTTACGTGCATGGGACTGCACTCGTATCCCAGATTCTTATATGGTATCAGAGCGGGCCTACGTGGGACCTGCAATAAGAGGGATTTGTTAAAATTTAGATGGGAAAGAGACATCAAATGTTATTGGGTCGCAGTACAACAATTACTAGGGCCGTGCCATACCCATGAGCCCATTCATATTTGTTATCATGGACGTCGTCACATGAGCCCAATTGTAACTTTATGGACTTGATATATTAACTAACAAAATTCTCACTTACCCGATTGGCCCAAAATAAATTGGCACACAGGATTATTCATTTATGATAACAATTAAGATTGAATATCATGGGTTCAGGTCCATAGATCTACTGTTGACTCTTGATGAATAAAGTTATGACACCTATTTGATAGGTTAACAAATAATTGATAAGTGAATTTCGAACTGGCTAAAAAACTAATTTAAATGATAAAAATGTTCGCTAAAATTAGTTGATTAGTCATCTGAAGGAAAAATTTGAACGAACTTTTTTAAAAAAACTACCTAAGAAAGTTTGATTGTGCTTGGTAAAATTAACTTATAAACTAGTTGATATTTGATAACTTATAAGTAAATTTCAAGTTTATAGTTGATAGCTTATGGCTGGAAAATTAGCTCATCTGATAAAAAATACTTGGTAAAATTAACTGATAAGCAAGCTGAAATAAAAATATACGGGCTTATTTAAAAAATTATACTATCTTATAAGCTTTATGTACATAAAGAGTGTGTTTGGTAGGGCCGTAGGACATATAAACTAATGCATTATGCTGACACACAACTTAATATACACCACACATAGTAAAACTACAAAGTTATACATGTTAAAAAATTAATTTTACAAATATCACAAGGCATTTTAGCATAAATTTTTATTAGCTTATATTTTAGTTAATATATATTTTTTTAAATTTAAAATACATTCAGTCTGTATTTATGTCTTTTTTCTTTTGATTTTTGAAAATATTTAATGAAATATTTTTAAATAAAATAATAATATTTGCTCAAAAAAATTTAATTTATGTCTATTTATAGACTCAATTTTTTTTTAATAATTTATAGATATGCTCATAACCGAAATAACAGTGGTGACTGGGATTTGGGATTTGGGACCATAAATGGAAGAAGCCAACAGCTTGCAATCTGCTTCTTCCCTTTCTTTCTCCCATTCAGATTCTTGCTGACATTTGCTTTTCTTTTCATGATTTTTAATTAATTTATTTATTTTAGTGTTTGATTTTTTCCCCAATAGCCTTTTGGGTTTCGAAGGCCATCTTCGTCTTTCCCATGAATTTCATGCCCCGAGCCTCTGCAAATGTCCGGTTATTTTACAGAAAAACGATCGTGATGACTGATTGTATAAGGCAACCTGGGCTTCGCAAACTTCAGAAATTTTGATTACGATTTCTCAGCTTGTGGCCCGAAAGCTTGCGTGTTTTGCGATCAGATTTGTATTTATGTTGTAGGGTTGCAGGGGCATGTGAGAATCACGGCTGAATTGCAGGGGAAAAAGAAGAAATGACTGAAACGGCGTCGTCTTCTGTGGATTCACGTCGTTTCGGTGATCTGAGAGGGGTCCAATGGCGAGTGGATTTGGGGATTTTGCCGTCTTCTCCGTCTTCTTCCATTGATGACCTTCGCAGGGTCACAGCCAATTCTCGTAGAAGGTAAATGCTGGTAATGTTTCTTTTTTAAAAAATGTGATCTTAGTTTAAGGGTTTTGATTTGTGTTCGTTGGGAAGACTGCCGATCTTTTTTCCCCTGATTTTGGTGAGGCTGAAAAGGAAGTAATAGATGTTCTGTGTTCATGTGGTTCAAAAGTCCTTGTGAGATGGATTGGAATTGGATGTGATTTTTGTTAACAATAACATTATGATTTTGTTCCGTCTTAGGATCGTAGGCTGACCACTTCGTGTGAAGACATAATGAGCTTCGAGTAAATGGTATATCTAATCTGCAACATCAAACAAAATGTTAATCTCTTAAAATGGACTATTGGCTTCTAATTTCTCTGTATGATAAAAGGTTAAATCTCCAACTCTACCATCTTCAAGGCCAACATAAATATGTTCCTAGCTCATTTACCTTGTCACCGAGTTTTTTATTCTATTTCTAGTTAGATGACACAAACAATTTTCTACAGTTATGCATCTTTGAGGAAACAACTTTTAGTCGATCCACATTTACCAAAAGATGGCAGTAACTCCCCTGATCTTGTCATGGATAATCCGCTGTCCCAAGACCCGGGTAAGATTTGCATTTAGCTTCCTAATCTCTTGGAATTATCACCCCTTTTATTAACCAATTTGTCCTTTATATTTCCGTGTTTGATTATTGATTGCTATTTCTCCTGCAGACAGCATGTGGAGCCGCTTTTTCCGAAACGCTGAGCTGGAGAGGATGGTTGACCAAGATTTGACTCGCTTATACCCTGAACGTGGCAGCTACTTTCAGACGAGCGCTTGCCAAGGCATGTTACGGAGGATTTTACTGCTTTGGTGCCTTAGGCACCCGGAATGCGGTTACAGACAAGGTATATTGTGCCACACAATAATCGGTTTCTACTGTCACTTTCTCCATTTAGCTACATTTAGGATGAACTCTTCAAACCAAAGATGTTATACATATATATATTTATATATTTTTTTTTTATTATTCAATATTACAGGGATGCACGAGCTTCTGGCCCCACTCCTGTACGTCCTCCACGTCGACGTCAACCGTCTCTCGGAAGTCCGTAGGGCCCACGAGGACCACTTTGTCGACAAGTTCGACGGCCTCTCATACAACGACAAGTTCGACTTCAAGAAACCCCCGGAAGCTTCCGGAGACTTCCGCTACCCGAACCCGGAAAACAATCCCCCCAAACCCAGAAGCCTCTCCGACCTCGATCCTTCCACCCGAACCATCGTCCTCCTTAGCGATGCCTACGGCGCCGAGGGCGAGCTCGGCACCGTCCTCTCAGAAAAGTTCACCGAGCACGATGCCTACTCAATGTTCGACTCCCTCATGCGCGGGCCCCACCTCGCCATGTCAGACCTTTTCTCCCCGTCATCCTATTTGTCGGGGCTTTCACCTATAATCGAGGCCTCATCCGCAGTGTACCGTGTCCTCGCCGCGGCAGATCCGTCCCTCCACGCCCATTTGGTCGAGCTCGGAGTCGAGCCGCAGTATTTTACCCTCCGTTGGCTGCGCGTGCTTTTCGGACGCGAATTCTCTCTCGAGAACCTGTTGCTCGTCTGGGACGAGACTTTTGCGTGCGAGAACTCGATTTTTTGCGGAAAGGATGATGACGTGGCGGAGTCGTGCTTCGTTGGGGTGCTCGACTCGCCCAGGGGAGTTTTTATTGTGTGCTTTGCGGTTTCGATGATACTCAAGCTGAGGTCGTCCTTGCTGGCGACGGAGAACGCGACTGTATGCCTGCAGAGGCTGTTGAATTACCCGAACGACGTGGATTTGAAGAAGCTGATATCGAGGGCGAAGTCCTTGCAGGTGGTGGCAAAGGGGATTTTTGATCCGGGCCTATCAAAAAAGCCCGTAATTGCTAGAGGCCACACGCTGTCGTTGGATTCGGCTTCTCCTCGAACGCCATTGAAGGAGAGCTATTGGGAGGAGAAATGGAGAGTTGCGAACAAGGAAGAGGAGAGGCTGTTATGCAGGAGTGAGTCCGAACCCTGTTCCTCGTCTATGAAATTGGATTCGCTGAAAAAAATTAAGGAGCCGTTTAGTTTGTTGGAGGATCTTGCGTGGCAGCTTCAAGATGATAATAGAAAGAACGCAGGTTGTAATAATAATAATGATGATGATGATGATGATGTTAAAGAAACTGCAGTGTGTTATGGTGACGAAATTGAAGGACGAGATGATGTCACCCCCAAGAAATTTGGTAAATTTCCGAGTGAAGTCGAGAACTTTCCGGATTTCTCAGATCCCAACAGTCCGCAGAGGATTAACAGGGAAAATAGTGATGTGGAGAATGTATCGGGATGTAGCAGTGTCGCGTCGAACTCATCCGTGGATGAGAATAATTATGCTAAAAAACGTTTGGCTGATGATGAATGCAACGTGTCGTCAAAATGCTATTCACATAAAAATGACGATGATGATTCAGTAAAAAAATCATCTACAACAACAGGGGTGAAAGAGGAGAGGAAAGGTAAACTCCAGTGGCTGTGGAAGCTCGGGCGGCATACGGGCCAAGGAGAAATGCCTTCCAGGCCTTGTGATGTAAAAAGTTGTAAGAATGGTGAAATTAGCCGGGTTAATAATAATGTCACTTCTTTTTCTTCAAGTAAGAGCTCGACTGAGACGAGCAGAGGGGATGTGGTCGAACAAAATTTGATGGTTAGCTTGAGAAATCTTGGTCAGTCCATGGTGGATAACATTCAGGTAAATTTAAGCTGTTATTTTTTTAAAAAAAAAAAAATTACAGAGAGGCTGAATCATCAGAGATTAAAAAGAAAAAGAATAGAAGAAAAAAAATCTGTTGTCTTTTAAAAGTTCACTTACAATTTGTCAGTGATATTTGTTAGTTGACTAAACAAACACCCGAATGGTTGTGTTTGTGGCGCCTTTTTACGGAGATATTTGAAATTTTGAGAAAACATCATTGAATTTTTATTTGTTACGAATCGTTTAATCTGTTTGTGTTTTTTGGACTGGCAGGTGATTGAATCCGTCTTACAGGAGGGACACGGTCAATTTCGATCGTCAGAGAATTTGCCAAACGAGGGTTTTGTCGTTGAGAAAGGGAAAGCCACGGCCATGTCCGCACTCGAGCAGCTCAGGAAAATCAGCAGGGTTTTATCTGAGATGTGATGTATTTATATGCAATAGTAATACACATCTTACGATTCTTATTTATTTATTTATTTTTTTTTTATTTTTTTTTGACAAATAGTGGAGAATTGGAATTCAAATATATATACATACATAAGTGGTTAGTTGTACAGCCATAGTTAAATGAGTTCTGAAATTTTAACCTATACAAATTTTTTTGTTGACAAATAATGGAGAATTGGAATTCAGATATATACACAAAAATATAAATTGAATCCTAAGTCATCATTCTCACCATTTTTTTAAACTATGTAGTTGAAATTATTTGTTTATATATATATATATTGTGTTAATTTAGAATTTATCAAAAAATATATATACATACATAATATTTAATTTGAACTATGTACATTAAATTTTTTCAATTAGCTCATAAATATTATTATTAAAAATTGTAAACCAGTAATGATATGTGATGTTAGTATGCAAGACTTTTTTTTTGTGGTTGACAAATAAATTTTATAAAAAAATACTTAATTATTATACTACATCATACAAAAATTAAAACACTCTCTTGTTCTATACTATGCATGAATTAAAATTGAATATCAACATTTTTATTAGATGATCTAGAGTTGAATATGTAATACGTGAAAGCTGTATTTCATGATGTATATAAAATATTTTAGTACATTATCATAAAACAACTTAATTTAGGTGTTTTTACATAATTTCAAGAATATTTTAGAAGATTTTAGATAACCTCATGCATTTTTTTCAAAATAAATAAAGATTATTTTAGATACACTTACATGTGTTATATAAGTGCTTTTAATATTTTAAATGTTTTTGTATGATCTCTCAGAAAGTTTCCATGTTGTTTGGTATTGGAATTCATATATATATATATATATATATACTATACGTAAGTAGTTGTTTGTACATATTCCTGCCATAGTTAGAGGCGTTCAAAATTTTACAAAATTAGTTAGAGGCGTTCAAAATTTTACAAAATGATAAAAGTGTTGTTATTTAGAGATTTTGTGAAAAAGACATTTATATGAGTTCAAAATTTTAGTGTACAAAATGATTGAAGTGTTATGATAGATAGGAGTGATGTTATGTAGAGATTTTATGAAAAAGACAGATTGAGTTCAAAATTTTAGTGTACAAAATGATTGAAGTGTTATGATAGATAGGAGTGATGTTATGTAGAGATTTTATGAAAAAGACAGATTGAGTTCAAAATTCTACCGTATACAAAATGATAGAAGTGTTATGATAGGAGTGGGTTTATATACATATTCCGTGGAAAAGATTGAAGTAAATTAGTATAAAACTTTTTATAAGTGTAAATGAAATATCATAAATATAAGATATTTGAACCGTGGACGAAAACTGATAACAAATCCTATTTTGTGTTTGAGATTAAGAAATATTTTTTTCTCTCGATTTAAGATAAATATATGAGATTATAATCTTACCTATTTAGTTAAATAAATTACTTTCACAAATGCGCGTAATGATTTTTCAAGCACCGTGTTTTTACTAGAGGTGATGAAATTGAAAAAAATTATTTCGTGCTAAAAAGTGAAAAAGAAAAAAAGCATTTTCCACATACAGACAAGTTATTTAAATATGTTTATTTATTGAACTGTATTTTTATATTACAATAATAGTTAAACGAAAAAACCCAAGTCAAGGTCTTGAACCACCCAGGAATCTAACATTCGGGATTCCTGGGTGGTTTTCTTATGAATATAGGGTTTAGCTCCATCTTGGGTGCGGAGTTATGGGGATTGCTACAAGGCTTGCTGCTCGCTTGGGATTTGGGGTACCACCGAGTTGTAGCCGAGGTCGACAGTAAGGTGGTGGCGGATTTGGTGAATAATCAGGCCGAAGTCGAAGGGGTGCATAGTAATTTAGTTCGGGCTACGAAGGAGGTGTTGCGTCGTGATTGGAGGTTGATTATCCGACATGTTTACCGGGAATCAAACTTCTCGGCGGATTACTTGGCTTCTTTAGCTGCGACTAGTCCGTGCGGCTTACAACGCTTGGAGTTCCCGCCAGCTGGTTTGAAACCGTGGCTTGAGCATGATGTTATCGGCGTGGCTTACCATCGTAGGATAGCTAAGCTTCCCCTCCCCCCTCTGTACCAAAAAAAAAAAAAAGGTCTTGAACCTATCCTCAGCTGAGTTAGGGTTAAGCTCCAACCTAGAGAACTTAAAATTTCAAGAATAAATATTTGGAAAATGTGTTAATATATCAATTCAGGTGGCTCGTATAATTTCTGATCAGCATGTGATATATACAGAAATTCATTTCCTAAAGGTGCTGATCTAATCTTTTAGGGATATTTTCAAAAATAACAATAACAATAATAAAATAAAATAAAATAAAATCCAGTGAGGAATAAATCTTCAAAATCAAAATGAACCCTTTGTCCAAAATAAAAAATAACCAGTGAAGGTGCAACAAACACACACCATGTCCAAATGTTGGATGATAAACATAATTACTCCCATAAACATACATTTAATGCAACTGCTGTGCTAGTAAGTTTTATTACATACTCAGTAAAAGAACCTACATCTGTTGGCTAAGAAACATCATACATTGCAAATACACAAACCCCTCTATTTAAGGCAAGCATTAGCGGCCGAACCGCAATTCTTACTGGCATATGAAGTTGAAAACCCGAGAAAGTCAACGCATACGTACACCAACATTCATCTACTTGCTCTGTGACTCATCATCCTAAATTCTCCTCTTACCTTATGCCACGCTCTCAATATGTACAATGGTAAAAGTCCTGCAAAAGTTTACAGAATTAGGGCAAAAAGAAATCATGGCTTTTGGGTGAAGGGGTTTCAAGTCTCATTATATCACTAGAGACAAGAATAAATCAAGTATTTATTCTGAATTTGTATTTGACAAATTATGCTACCACCAGACTCACCCGAAGAGATTTCAGATTTTATTGAAACTTTGCTTTGTCATCATCATCATCTTCGGAGCTGGATATGTTTTCTTTTTCGTCATCATCTTGATATTTTGCTTCAATTTCCACAACTGGGATAGGATGTACAGGTGAAGTCCCTGCATTACAGAAAAAACAGGCATCAAAATATGTCCACCCAACGGATATTTATCTAATATCTGCTCTTGTTCTGACCATACAGCACAAAAAGCTTCAATATAATAAACATTGGTTCACAAAAATCACTCTGCAGAATATGATTGATAAGGTTCAATTGTATACAATAACACAGATGTGCAAGATTTTGTGGAAAGTAAATACACAAAAATGCAAGGATGGTTAGTAAGCTGTAGCACAGTGATTTTGGATGACCCAAAGTTTACATGGCCATTAGTTGGTTTTCTTAAGATAGCATAGCCGTGGATTATTTCATGGTGTTTTGGTAGAATAATCAAGTCAACACCCAGACTTTGGTTGCCTCAAATCATGGCAGACTTCCAAACTTTCATTATGTGGTTGTAACTTGACTTCAAATGAACAAACAAAGCTAAATATTTTCATATTTCCATTCGGCAATTTTTCACATATCTGCCCCTTCCAAAAAATTTCTAATTCAGCTATAACAAGAACCCGTCAAATTACACAGCAAGGATGTACGTGAAATTCAACAATTTCGGTTCTATGGTTGTAACTTGACTCCAAATGAAGAAACAAAGTTGAATATTTCATATTTCGAGTAAGCAATTTTTCACATATTCGCCCATTTGAAGAAATTTCTAATTCAGCTAACAAGAACCCATCAAATTACACATCAAGGATGTAAGTGAAATTCAATATTTCGTTTCACGAGCAATTTAATCTACCAGGTTGCAAATGAATGCATAATTTGGCTCCAGATGGGGATTTGGTGCAAAATAAATCCAGGAGATAAAAAAAAAAAAAAAGAAGAAGAAGAAGAAAAAATGAAAAGCTCAAGCAATTCATTGAGGAGCTCAAGCCATGAGATTATCCAAACAAGTTCAATTCCAATAAGACGCAATCACGAAATACAGATTCAAATCTACAATCCAAAATCCACCTCACGAAATTCAACACCCACCAATCTTGATCTAGAAAAGAAACGCCCTAAATCACAACCATTGGATATGTTCGATCAAAAACGGAAAACAAACACACAAACCCAGATTCATGGAACCCAAATTTACCTTCGATATAAAAAGAAGAGGCCGGCCAGCCCTTGGCTGAAGTAAACGACATATTCTCATCCTCCGACAACACATCAATCGATAATCCCTGGCTCCTTTTCGCCCTCGCAGCGGACAGCTTCCCGATGACGTCGACCAGGCTCCTGGCAGGGTGGTTCTGGTCGGCGCGGCCGCCGCGCAAGGAGGAGGATCGGGGCGGGACCCAGTACGAGGATCCGGGGAGGAAGGGAAGCCAGTCCGGCGCGGATCGCCGCACGATGATGCTATGGATGGCGTCCTCAAGCTTCTTCATGCCGAGGGTGATGACCTCCGCGGCCGCCTCCGGAGAATCTGCCTGAGACTGATCGATCTCAACCGCCTCGACCAGCTGGGCGCTGCGACGGCTCTTGCTCGAGCGGTGGCGGCGGTGGCTGGTTAGGGCGGCCGGGGGGCAGAGAGGGGAGGATCGATGCAGGGAGTAGGAGAGGATTCGGGACATCGCCATGATCGATCGGAATTTTGGTGATGGAATCTAGAGAGAGAAACTGCCGGCGGAAATGTGAATCGGAATTGCTGTTTTTGAGAGAAAAAATGGAAGTTGTTGGAAGTGCGTGTTTTCTAATATAAGAGAGCTGTATTTTGGGATGTGGATAAAGAAAGGGAGAACTGAGAAGGTTCATTGGTTGACAATGGTCAACGAGTTCGGGTCGGGTCGGGTCGGACCATTTTTTTCTTGTATAATTGTATTCGAATAAAACCTACCCATTTTAATTTATGGGTCTGCCTAACAGTTATAGGTCGATTCATCATAATTTTTTGACAAAAATTGTTACATATATTATGAAATGTCATACTTTAGTCAGAATACCACATCTCAATTTTCTGTCTAATCGTCAGTCGGATTGACTAGTCACATTTTTTTTTTTTTTTTTTTTGCAAAAATGCTTACTTATGTTGTGAAATTTCATACTTTTGTTCATAGTTATCATATTTCAGTTTAAAAGTATACATATATATTATGAAACGTCATGCTTTTGTTCATATTATTAAGTAAATTATCTATCAATATTAAGTTTGAACATATGCATATATGTTGAAGAAATATGCTAACTAGCTAATATTAAGTTTGAACATATGCATATATGTTGAAGAAATATGCTAACTAGCTGTTAGAGAGCGTGACACCCCAAATTAAATATTAAAATATTTTACTAATAATTTTTTCTTACCTATTTATTTTAATTAGATAGCCTAAATATTTTATTTTGAATTTGTAATAGCTATTATATAATAATAAATATTAATAATTATGTTTCAGTTATTTTCAATTTTTAATTTGGGAAGCCAAAAGAAATTGATCTTGAGTGTGTTTGGATACAAAATTTTTCACTCAAAGTAGCCTAATTGATAACCGTCTAATAGAGCCTTCTAATATTTTTATATTCCAATTAGAAGCAATGCTTGTTTTCTTTACCTTTAGAAAGTCCACTGCAAAATTTCAGCTGCAGCACACAAATTACATTTTCCTTCAAAAGTCTCCCAATTTTGTTCATACTTAACCACTTCAACATTTACTCACCCATATAAATATGTTCAAACTTTGCAACTCACACACCCAATGTACGTACATTCTCATAACCCCACCTTTCACACAACAAAAACCATTTCAAAAACACTACATAGAAAAATCTCCATACAAATATAAAGTCCCCAACACATGTAAATACATATCATTCACAACTTAAATTGCAATCACATCCTTCAAATACCAAATTATAAAAAATTTGGACCTCAAACACCTATAGCAAGGTATGGTTCCCATACAGCGAGCGAATCGTACTCTGCGAATAACCACCAAAGGGATCGCCAAACGGGTTTGACGATCCCATATTCGTCATTTGTTGTTGTTGTTGCTGGTGTTGAGGATAATGATATTGAACTCCGTTATACGCATTACCATGTGGTACCATCATCATCATCATGTTCGGTTGTTGCTGCATCATCATCTGATGCTGCACTGCCATTTGATGCTGATGATGGTGATGATGTGGCATCATGGCCGTGTGCGCGTCCATTGGAGTCACGACATTGTTATGCATGGGAAATGGGGCCCGCGGGTCATATACGGTTTGTGTTGTTTCGTAACTGTAGCTCGTCGTGCTGTATCCTGCGCTGTGTAGCTGAAGTTGTCTGCGAGACGTGTCATCCTCATACAAGCTATCGAGCAATGATTTGTCGAAACCACCCGCCTAAATTGCATAACACAACGGTAAAAAAGTAACCAAGTAATTTAGGTTCTCGAGTATAAAAAGATCGGCATGAAAGATAGTAATCATTAACTAGGATAAGCCTATACATTTAGTCGATGTGTGATTAAAAATGATCGAAAACGAAGATTTTGGACTTTTCTCGATGTGAAAATAGGGATTGAAGTAAGCACAAACCATTTTTGTTTCGGCTACTCGAGGCTTATTCATGTTGCTTGGTTCCATTACGAGTGCTAGCTCCCACCCTGAAGTGCTCCCGAGTCCCCCGAACGCGTTATTATTAGCTTGTGGTGTGTCATTGCCTGCAACAATATTTCAATATGATCAAATTAACAAGAAAGTGATGATTGTCAACTATAAATAAATTTTCATTCTTTTTTTTCTTCTTTTTCAAATGGCAAGTTCTGCTTTCCATAATGCATTAAGCCTAAATGCTTCTGAGTTCGAACTTCTCATTTTGCTTCTAGTCCGATTTTGTCCCACGAGTGAAGAAACTATATATAACTTATCGTTGTTGCTATTATTACCAAATCACGATTGCTCGTTTTTTTTCTTTTTTTTTTTTCTCTTAAGACTATT